AGCAATTTTGTTCTGTTTTCGAGAACTATAGGTATTACTATTAGACTAATACTTTTCTAATACTAATGCCAAAGTATTAAATTAATTTTTTAATTCAAGCACAAGAGCATTAATTTAAATTTTTAATCCTAATACAAAAGTATTAAAATTTGCTTTAAATAATACAATGCTAGTGCTAAGCTGACACCCCTAGTTCATAGCTACACTAGATTTCACATCGATTGTTAGAATCAATTTAGGTTCATTGGAAAATGGAAACTTTGATAATGTGATACGATATTATTTTTTGCTGAGTGATGGACATATTCTGTTGTGTCATATATCTATGGTTTTAGAGAACTTTGAACCTGAAGTTTTTAATCAATTGGGGTGAAATACATATCATTCAATAGAACTCGTCAACATGAATCGAATGGAATCGATTTTGCATGTTGCACAGGTTACTGAACGAATAGTTACGGGAATTATATCATAATATAGCGTTTTTTATGTTTCCGGAGCTTTAGGATCTTATGAGTTGGTTTTGATTAGGGTTTTATTCATACTATCGGATGCAGAACGTGGAGATGCGTCGAATGATGTAAATTTGAAAAGTGACACGGGATCTAGCTTAAATCGTTTTAGGAAATTTTAGATTTTAATATTTTTCCCTATGGTACAATATTATTGTTTGATTTCTCTTTCGTTGTTTTGGATCTTCGCTGAAATTTCAAATTTACGATATGATAGAGTTTGTCGAGCTCTATCTGGCACACGACAATTCATACATTGCACAGTTGAGTAGGCGAATCAATCTGAAAAAGCTTGAATCAGGTGCGAACTTTTCTTAAATAAAATAACTGGTTTATGGTCATGTTTGTGCTACTATCTTCTACACACAATATTTTGCTAGATACGATAAAATTGCCAAGCAAGTTGTTTAGTTTATTCGAATGTTTTTTATTCATACTGTTTTAAACTCGTTTCTAAAGATTTTTTTAAAACTAACTCGCCACGTTTCATAAGATTTCAATTTTTATTTTTACCATTAACACTCGTCTATTAGTGTATTCCCGATCACCAAGAGAGTTGAAATACTAAAGCTTTATCTCTGTTCAAGAATAACATTGTACAGAGATAAGAGTATCAGTCATAAAATTTGAATAAAAAGAATGCTAAAAAATTAATATTAGACAGCCTTAATGATACTTTTTGTTACCTGCATGTACAGCATATAGAGGAAAATACTTTGTTGATAAAAGTCCTCAGGAACCCACTTTAAGTGCAGATTGCATAGAAGACCATTCAAAAGTTGCTTAATTATGGCTAAACAAAACAACTAAGAGCAAAACATTATTATGAGATGTAACATATAACATATGAATATGAATCACCATCGAATATTCAAGAAACATCATATGTAAAATTATTGTGACCTTAAAAGTCTTCGCACTATTATCAGTCAATGCGACATTCATTGCGAATTGACTATTCACTTCCAAACAGTCTCTGTCCAGTTTATGTGATCATCACCAAACAGGTCAGTTCATTTTCATGCTGACATAAATCAAAGTAAGTTGAAATACAAATCGTTCAAAAATCATCAAGTATCCACAGACAAAAGAATCTATGTAACTAAGCATCTAGGATGTGTAACAGGTCAATATAGCAGCAAAAGATCGTTTGCACTTCCCTTGATACACCTGCACGGATAAAAATGCGTCAGGTGTCAGTTTAAATCCATTTTTCATAAAATGATTCTCACTAACTTTATTTCAGCTTACTGAAACCTTACAACTTTAGCGTTATACATATGTATTTTGTATTGGTGAGAGAGACATCCCTGATACGTAATATCTTCCAATCCCCACAGTACGAATACCAGCTATACCTTTTCCCCAGAAACGTCTTTCAAGACTTTTGTATTGAATATTTAACACTGATACGATTTCTAATCAGATACGATGTACGTTATTGAAACACTGACAAATATATAATTTATCGCATGAAAGCTACACCAAAATTGAAAAATAAAAGCTAACGACCACTACCTATAAAGGAAAGACCTTGAAAAGCCTTAAGAAGCACCTTTGTATAAGGTAACTTTTATCTATAAAAATAGATTTTTGTGGAAAAGACCTTTTAAGGGTCTTTCTTCGACATGCATAATTTGTTTCATTATATACCCGATAGGGTATCATTCCCGCGATTTTCTGTTGGGTATAACTTTGTTCCAGTATATTTCTGTCTAGTTCTTCACGTTCCTGTTGAATACGGTGCATTACGTAGACATATATCGTCTTTAACGTTAGTGAATACTACTATACCAGTCAGAATAACGATCCAGGCGTTTCACCATATACGATACGGCGTCCTACTACTGTAATATTGTTCCTACCGAATAGGTGATTTACGGCCCGTATACGGTCGTAATTGTAAAGTTTACGAATGTTTACGACAACGTAAACGACGGTATAAGTTTCTTTACAACCATTGCCACCATGCACCCGGACTTCGATCCATAACGAAACAATCGCTAACTGTTGATGACTTGCAAGTGAAGGTATGAGTGTTGATCTTCTCTTTATTCACACTCAGATCTGCACTCCACATCTATCCACATCCACAAATGACTACTAATTGATATTAATATAGAGAAAGCGAATCAGTGAAGCAATAGTCAGTAACAGCTCAAAAGAATAAACGTATGCGCATTGCAGACTATTATTTACTCTATCGTATTCTTTCGATGTTTTCCTTATCTCCATTTTTTTTGATATACTCTGTCACTATTTTTATCTTCGACATTTCTCTTGCCAATGTTTTGACTATTCGACACCTTCCATTTCGATATTTCCCATCAATTTGAATTAAACAATGCCATGTATTTTTTTTGGCAGACGTTTTTCTGCTTCGTTTGTTCTGAAAGTGAACTTGCATTCAACCGAATAGCAAACATTTTCATCATGTTGTACACACAATGATGGTGAGAGTCTATCGATACTTTTCAATGATTGGCGTTTTGTATTCTACACATATATTCAAATCATTCGAAAGAGAACTGTCGAAAGTAAAATTTGTTGATTGAAAGCATTATCGGGTACATAAGAAAAAAGATGAAAGTGTAAATGTTCTTTTTGCAGTCACGACAGTTTCGGAGTATGCATCGATCAAACGAAACATCAGCAGTAGACAGAAAAAATCTATAATAAAAAAAAACAACACCCAGGTAGCTTATATCGCATAGTAATTGCTCGTTGGCAAGTTAAGACACCCAATTTCACTATCTATTGTGGGTCGATGTACATAAAACTGACAAATGAAAATAAATATATCCATGGTTAAATCTGAGGATAAAAATAATGTTGTTGAAGCTACTTTGTTCGTATATAAACGAATATCATTACCATACGACAGAAAATTTCTTCATTATTTTGCTGAAATTTAGACAAGAAACTAATCCATCCTTTTCTTTATTCTTTCGTAGATATGTTCTAGCGGTCAAAAGTCAAAAACAACACCATGAATAATCTAACAGACCTTTGTCAAAATATTCAAGTAAGATTATCCAAAGCTACTTCGAATTCATGTGAAGCTACTGGTGAAGAAAGTGCATTGTATAATCTGAATCTTCGAATTGTTTCCATTTTTGTTTTACTCGTTGTCTCTCTTCTTGGTGCTTCAATCGCCGTAGTTTCAGCCAGTATCAAACGCTTACATATACCATCAACAATTATTAATACAGGAAAATTTTTCGGCACTGGGTATACATTCGACCTGTTCGAAAAAAGCATTCGCTCAATTAGTTTCCTATTCTTTTCTAGAGTAATACTTGCTACTGCATTCATTCATATCTTGCCAGCAGCTATGAATGCATTGACAGATGAATGTCTGCCGGAAGATTGGAAAGATTATGAAGCTTATGCAGGTGTATTTGCTATGTTGGCTATACTGGCCATGCAACTCATTGAATTCATTGCGCATCATCAATTACACAGGGTAACTATTCACGAGACAAAAGTCGTAGTTGAAGAGACTCAGGCACAACCTACTATAATACCTGTTGAAAGCAGTCAACAACATGGTCATAGCCATGGTTTATCACTACTACAAGATAGTCATAATCATCGTATCACTACCTATTTACTTGAGTTTGGTATTGCTGCACATTCAGTTCTCATTGGTCTAGCATTGGGCACTAATGATGGTTCACGTTTTGTAGCTCTTTTTATTACACTTTGTTTTCATCAATTTTTTGAAGCCATTGCACTTGGTGCACAAATTTCACAACTCGATAATAAATCAGTGTTACCAGCTATTTTCATGGTGATATTTTTCGCTCTCACTACCCCAGTCGGTATTGCAATCGGTATTGGCGTTCATTTGAATACATACAATCCAAAATCATTGGCTGCACTAGTGGCAACTGGTGTTTTGGATTCAGTTTCAAGCGGTATTTTGATCTATGTCGCTTTGGTCAATTTCATGGCTGGTGAAATGGGTGTCGGAGCACCTGGATTTTTTCAATTGAAAAAACGTGTGAAATTTTTATATTTTGTCGCTTTGTATCTTGGTGCAACGTTTATGGCAATTCTTGGACGATGGGTATAGACGAGACGTTTTTGAAATTTTTTCTTAAAAATTTGTAGTGTGTTTTTACTAGTTGAATAAATAGCTCTGTGAGCATAATTTAGATCTATAGCAAAGAACATACGGCTACCACGAAGATGATTATTTTACTCTTGACATGTATCTAAAGCTATGAGTACCGTTCTTTTACTTTTTCTTCATGTCATTAGTGACTTTAGGTAATAATTCAATACAACAGGCTTCCTTTTTTTCTGTGTTTTGTAAATAGTATTGCACACCTTCCCCTGTTGAAGGCACCTCCGTTTACGAGTGCATTATACTTTAACCCTTTGGCAACGAGGTTTTTTTAAATTAAGATTTCCTGAGGGTATGGGTGTGGGGTGTGGGTGGGTGTGGGTATGAAAGTGAGTGTGGGTCTTCCACCGTTACATCCACATCCACATCCACACCCCACACCCTGTTCTCAATATTTATCGATGAATATGAATTTGAATAAAATTCAAATATTTATTTTATAATGTTTTCAACAAAAACTCTTTGATTTTTAAAGGAAAAAATCTGTAGTATAAAAAAAACATCATTGACGATAGAATATATTCTAATAGAGAATTTAAATTAAGATGATCAATTATTGACTTATGAGTAAGAAAAAGAGAATTGAATATTTTAAATTAACTAAAAAATAGTTTCATAAAAATATTCAATGTTTATTTAGATGGAAGTTATTTAATTCCTATTTTCAAAAATCAATTATCATCACTTATTATTCATATTAGCAAATGTCAAGAACCAACAAGTTCAACTAAAGATATATAAATATATTTCTATTTACACAAATCTTAACAAAGTTCAAATATTTACAATATTTATGTATGGCATGTAATTAATTGCGCAGTAAAAAATAACTTTTTTGCTCAGTAAATAGTTCGAAAAGCTCAGTAATTTATTTAAAAATATTTAGTATTTAAGGGTATGGATAAGTTTGTTGGTCTTCCTGTACAGCTTAGCGATTGCAAAAATTACCCGGAACCACGTTTCCAATTCCGGTTACTAAAAACGAGAGAAAAGCGGTTCCGGTTTGGTTTCCAAAATATCATCTGGAACCGAAACTGTTAATCATCAGAGAAATATGAAAATTTTAAATATATTTTGAGAAATTTTCTTTATTGAATTGCTGAGAATACATCCCATTCCGCACCTGCAAATTACTAATTTACTAATCAGGCATGATAGTTACCGAGCACTAAATTTTATACTGATAGTTTGATTTATTTACTGAGAATTTTGTACAAAAAAGACCCCGGATTCGGATTCCCCATCCTCGATTACCTTTGGTCAAGTTTTTCAAAAGAAAATTGTTAAAAAAATTATTTTTAGGATTTTTTTCATAAAAAAATGGTAAAAAGATGGATATTGAAAAAAACTGACCTCGGATTTGGATTCTCCATCCTCGATTACCTTCGATGAAACTTTATTACTAATTAATATCATTCGATACACAGCGATATCCAATGTTGAATTCTGATTGGCTTGAACTGACAAACTATTTTAGATATTTTTCGGCTATATAACCCTTTCTTTTAGAAAAGGGAATTATAGTCTTTCCTTTCATCCTGTTAATGGAACAGATTATATGAGATTATTTTATGAATTATATCTCTTTTTCAATAATTTAATAAAAGATCATCTTTATTACTAATTATAGTGAAAAAATTCTCTCGAAATTAAACGCTTATGATGAAATAATTATTGTCAGTGTACTTATGATAGCTATTTTCATTGATGCAAGTGAAGGATTTAATATAAGTATTTTGAACTGAAATTTGTTTGTTCGTTTTGTATTTTAAAGGTTTTTTAATAGATGAAAATTTTTTTCAATTAATAAATGTCACTAAATGTGAAAGAGCTTGATGTTCATGAAAATTTTTAATCTTAACTCAACTAAAATTAATCATTCTAATAAATAAAGTACATAATCCAATATTTCTTTCATTCTTCGAATTTCTTAGTGTATTCCTATAGAAAATAATTCAATGAAAACATTAATTATTGGCATAGCAATGCATTTGGTTTATTAATTATTGATGGAACGAGTATATTTTTATATCTTACAAGGACATTTTATAAAATGAAATTCTAAAAATACATGTAGAAATGATTAGGATTTAATCTATTTACATTGGTATTACTACACCTATATGCAAGATGTTTATGATAATAAAGATGACGAAGATGAAGTAATGGATGATATAGCAAAGAAATTAAATTTTTCAAACAGGCACATGATGAAAATCATTTACATGTCTTATTTGTATCACAATATTGTTATTATCTATAATAAGCAGATGAACTATTCGAAAATATTGGAGTTTTATGAAAAGTCGCTAACTATTAAACAAAAGCATTTACTTTCTAATCATCGTAATATAGATACATCTCATACGAAAATTGGTGTGATTCATTACAGCTTCAATTATTATGCTATTGACATGGAACATTACAATCAATAACTAAAAATCCATTCGAAGTTTCTCCCTTCTAAACATTCATTTATTACTTCGAATGACGAGAACATAGATTTGGTACACAAAGTAAAGGATAAATTACAACAAGCATTGGTATATTATCAAAAAGTAGTTACTATTTATCGTCACTCATTACCATCTCAACATCCAGATGTGATCATAATCGAAAGTTATATTGAAGATGTATCAATGAAATTGAAATAACTGCTTCCTATCGTATTTATTTTTTGAATAAAAACATTCTTATCAAAGAGTAAAACAATTTTCTCAGAATTACTCATCAAATGCATTAAAGATAAATTAGATATTTCGAGGAATAACTGATCATGTTTTTTCTAAAGCAAAAAATGATTGATCGCTTTTTGAAAATTGTTCAACTTCTTCACTTTCGAAAGTTATTCTTATAATCATAATGAAAATAAAATCAGAAGTTTTTTTTCAGGCCATTAGTTGCTTGTAATTCAAACTTTTCTAGAAATAACATAAAATTTAAATTAATCAAAATAGTTTATAACTTACTACCGATAATTTTGAATCTACGATATGTAATATCTGGATGACAAAAACATTCCTTCTTTTACAAATTTTTTTATAATTTTTATCGATAATTTACTACGAGTACATCAAAATTTAATTAATGCCACTGAATATAATACATCATGTAGCCTAGCCTCTCGTACTATCTATATCACCATTAAAATCAGATCGGTACCTCTTAATATGAAAGAAAAAATAATAACAAAAAATGCAAAAAAAATATTACAAAAATTAATGTGGCCTAAATTTTTGTCCTAGACTATATATTCTACACTCTATATCATGACCTCTTCACCGGTCACTAATCTTCTCTCTTTGTCTTTGTTATATAATGTGTGACCGCTTCTTCTACTGTATAAGACGTGTTTAATAAAAGGAGAGGGACAGTTGTGAGAGTGCAGATGCCACAAGACACCATCATGCTGAAAGGCATAGGCAGTCACTCTCATAATTTGTCACAATTATCTGTAAAGAAAGTGAAAACGTTCTCTCCGGTTTTATCTCTGTATCAAATGAATTTATTCTATAAGCATAATTCTCCCAGATTTCTATTAAAAAAAATTCAGCAATAAATATTATTCGACAAAAATAAATCATCTTAAAATAACGACACCTATTTTTTTTAAAGTTTTCTATTATTCGATAATAATCAAAACGAATCTATTAATAATTATTTGTTACAAAAAACAAATTTGGAATCATCATATTTTCTATCTTCTAGTATATAGATTATTTTCATTCAAAATATTTTATTCGAATTTTTTTGTTTCTCACAATTATGCCAAAAAGAACAGAAATTAATGAGTGAGAATAACAATGAACAAATGGATCTTGGAAGTGAGACAGCTAGCAATAATGATATAACAGATACTGCTATTACTGCTGTACCTATAACTAGTTCAAATATGGAAGTAACAACAACAACTGAAAATTCAACATCAAAATTAAAAATAATAATAAAAACATTAAGAAAAAAAAAAAATATATCAATTGATGGTTCTTCAACTGTCAAACAGGTTATTAATAAAATTAATCTTTTTTTCTCAAATATTTTTATTTTATTAGTTAAAAGATATTGTCGCTTAGGAATTTAATCTACCAATTAATCAAATTTGTCTTACTTATTCGAGTAAAATTCTTAACGATGATGATGATAATATTAACAAATATGGTAGGAAATCAAATAATTTTGAAAATAAAAATGTGATTTTTTTTTCTATTTATTAAAATAGATATAAAAGATGGTGCTACTATTAATTTGGTTAAACAAATACTTAAAATAAATACAACAACATCAAGTGCATCGGTTAGTTCAACAATTCCAAAAGGAACTAATGATACATTAGTGTGTGATAATCAAACAAATACAACACAATTAAATGTAGGTGGTTTTTAATTTGGTCTTGATTCAACATCTAGATTATTTTTCTATAAATAAAATGAATTTTTTCTATAGATTATGAATAATCCAGTACAACATCATCAAGTAATAGAAAATTCTATAGTACAAAATGTAACAAGCAATTCAGATTTATTATTATATTCATTATTACTTAGCAATCCACAAATGCGTAATTTAATGAAAGTAAATTAATTTCGAATTGAAAATATTTTTTTCTACATGAAAAATATTTTTAGCGTAATCTGAAAACATCATATTTACGTAATAATCTTGATTTACTTCGACAAACAATGGAATCTGCTAGTAATCTAACAATATTACAAGAACTTATGCGTACTTATGATTGAATTTTAAGAAATGGTGAAGTATATATTTGTTTTTTCTTTATTCTTTATTTGAAAATCTTTTTCTAAATAGAGTACACCAGATGAATCTAATGATTTACAACGTATTAATGATAATGATGTACAAAAACCAATATATTCAGCACCACAAAAACCATTTGATATTAATATATTTTCACAATTATTTACTGGAAATGAAGGTAATAAAGATTTTTTTTTTTTGTTTTTATTATTATATTTTCTTTCGTTTTTCATAGAAAATACAACCATATCATGTATGGAAAATACTAATCCATTATCGAATTCTTCGACATCTGATGGTACTGATACATCCAAAAATCAACAACAAGAACAAATCTCTCAAATGATAAAAAATTATATATCTCAATTAGATCAAAATGTTCATTTAATTCAAGATGTTGTTAATAAACCATGCATACAATCATTAATGAATTCAATTGCAACTAATCCTGATATACCAAGACAAATGGTTGCTAATAGTCCCAAATTATATGCACAAATAATTGATACTCTATCAGCTACGATGAAGGAACAAATAAGAAATCTTGACGTTCAAGCATTAATGAAAAATGATCAAGTACATGAAGCTATTATACAAGTTCAAAAAGGTTTGAAAAATAAAAAAAGAAAAGATTAATTTAAATAATTCACAATTTTATCTTCAGATCTTAAACGTTTACATGCAATAGTACCGGGTCTAGGACAATTAATCATGGGACAACTTATCACGGACAACTGATCATGATCATCTGATCATGGAAAAACTGATCATGACGACAACTGATCATAGACAACTGATTATAAGGGACAACTGATCTTCAACAGTTGATCATAAAAAATCTTTCGATAATTGTCATTCATTTCCAAACAAAAAGGAACAGAGAGAGGGTGTGGGTGTGGAGTGTGGGTGTGGGTGGGTGTGAGGTGTAGGTGTGGGGTGTGGGTGGGTGCGGGTATGGGTATGGTGTGTGGGTGAGTGTGGGTGTGTGGTGGGTGCGAGTGTGGGTGGGTGTGGGGTGTGGGTGTGGGTGTGGGTGTGGGTGTGGGTGTGGGTTTTAAAAATAAGAAATAAATTCACACCCACACCTACAGCTACGCCCACACCTACACCTACACCTACACCCACACCCAGACCCACCCACACCCATACCCACACCTACTCCCACACCCACACCCACCCACACCCACTCATGCCCACACCCACACTCCACACCCACATACCCACCCTAAACGATAACAATAATCTCATGACCCTTCATGATCAATTTTCCTTTATGATCAGTTATTCATGATTAGTCGTCCGCCGTGATCAGTTGTCTGTCATGATCAATTATCCATGATCAATTGTCCGTGATCAGTTGTTCCATGATCAATTTCCTGTGATCAGTTGTCCGCTCACCAATAGTACCCAATCTTTTTGGAGCGTAAGTTCTATTAATGAAATATTTTAATGAAAAACATATATCTTTTTTTTTATTAATTTAGTGGTGGTTTACTTACAGGTATTTACAATTATTATAACATTTCATTAATTTTTAAGAACAGAAAATTTAGAATACGTTTTATAACTAATGAGTAAGAATAATCGAAAAAAAATCATTGGCTTCTCATATAAACGATAAAGGAATAGTTTATTTTTTCTAGTTAAAAATTTCTTTTCTTATTATTAGAAAGAATAAAGAAAATGTATTGAAATTTTCCAATATTTTTCATATTAATTTATTGTATTTTCTTATATTAATTAGGTAAATTTGTTCAAAATATTCCAACATCTATTGAAGCTGCATCTGCAATAGACAGCGATTTCCATCACAAATTCGAATTAAAGTTTAATACAATCTGTGTTCATCCCCTCTTTTCAAAAGCAGAACAACAAGCTATAGGAGATCGTATTATTACTGCAATAGAATTTCTAAATACGTTTTTTGCTAATGATGATCGTTGCGCAACAATCTGGACGAACATTATGAACGGTGCATACAAAACAATTACAAAAGGCATGCCAATATCAAAAATAAATAAAATACTTTTTAATTCATCAATTAGTTCTACTAAAATATCTACTCTTGAACGATTAATTCAACAAAAAATAACTGTTGCTGTTATTCATCTGAAGGCAGAAGCATCACCTCAAATATTAGATTCTTGTCGCACTAATGAATATGCGACAACAACACCAAGACCGAACGAGGAAATATTAATAGCCATTAATCCGTTAGTTTTTGACAAGAAAACGGCAGGTAAATATTTTATTATTATTTAATTTAGAAAAAAAAATCAGAATTTTTTAAAATTATTTTGTTATTCATTGATTAATTAGAATGTACCATTCTAATTAATCAATCTTCATTTCAACTATTAAAATATAGAAAAACTACATGTGTTCTGTTTTGTTTGTTTTAGGTGATGGAAGTGATGTAACACCGGAAGCTTCAACATTATTTTTAAGCATGCTTTTATTACATGAACTTACACACGCTGCTAGACTTATGTCTCCACAAAAAAATGATACACCGAAATTAGCATTTTTTAGTACATATTCATCACCTGGTCATTATGATGGTGGAAATGTTTTGGAAAGAGAACTGTTATCTGGTGAACTTCATATTAATAAAGATTCTAATTATTCAGATGTCAAATTATTTATACTCGGACAAAGTAATAAACATATTCAATTATCACAATCAAATATTATTGATTGTTTAAATAAGAACAACTTTATATCATTATTAACATTAGTAGATGAATCATCAGAACCTCTAATTAAACGTAAACGTACAACTGAAAATACAAAAACAAGAACAAATTATCTTGAAACAGCTGATGATGAAAATCAAGAAAATGAAGTAAAATTCATACCATTACTTCAATATCATGCACGAAATACTTATGAACAAACATATCAAATTTATCCGAATGAACATTTTCAATGTTTATTAAATTATCATTGTGAAAACGATACTTTAACAGACCAATCTCCAGATGATCCAATATTATAATGTAATATTGTCGTCTGTCATTTATTAGTTTTTTTTTATTTTAATCAATTAATTAATTCAGTTGTTCATCGTCATACAAAAATATCTACTGTTACAAAAATAAATATTCAAGAAAATGATAAAGAATTTATTTTATCAAATTAATTTCAACCATTATTAACTGATTTATCATTATGTACAGATAATACAACAAGTGATATTGCATTATTATTATGGATATTACATTCATTTAATCTTAATTTTAATCGAATACATCGTGTACTTGATATACCATTAGTCAAAAAAAAAACATGATATCGTGAATATTATTCAAGTAAATATCCAGTTAAAATTCGTGTATTATATCAAAAGTTATTAAAATATTTTGTATTAAATGTATTAAATCATCATAAACCAAAATTATAAAAATAAAACGTTATTTATTTCTTTCACTTAAATCAACAAAATTTTTTTCAATTTAACAACACATGATTTCATTTGAAATTGGCTTACAATTATGTTATTAAGATTATAATATATTAAATTTATTAATACATCATAAAAATTTGAATTTAAAACTAGTTAAAACATTAACATCAAAAGAACATAAAAAATCTCGATTTGGTGATATATTTTATTTATGTCGAGAAATTTTACATTTTAAATAAATTAATTATTGATAGTCATGTACAATATCATTTAAGAAATGTTGATGTTTTTCAATTAGCTGATGGTTTACAATATATATTTGGACATATTGAACAATTAACTGGAATATATCGTTATAAATATAAATGAGTAAGACAAATACATTTATATAAAAATTTAAAACATTTAATTTATTATTGTTTTAATACAGGATCAATTGGTAAAGATTCTGATTGTAGTTTTTGGGTATCTGGTTGGTATGTATGATTATGTTTCTTACGTAATGTTACATCATTATTAGAATGTTGATTAGGAAATTTATTATCATGTTAATTTGAAGAATGTTATTCAAAATGTATTGGAAAAAATTATTACAAAACAACATGTTGAATGATATTATGATTTGGAATTACGTGCTGCTCTTATACATTATATATTAGATATGATGCCTGAAAGTATTAAACAAAATAAAACACGAACTATTTTACAACATTTAATTGAACTATGATGTTGTTGAAAAGCAAATATGCCATGGAAAGTACCTGAATTACAGATACCAATTGAAAATATTATATGATGTTATGTTAAAGCTAATGTTGATTGGTAGACATTAACAGCATATTATAATCGTGAACGTATTAGAAGTGGTGCAACTAATGATAAAATCGTATGTAAAAAATAAAAATTTAGGACGTTTAACACATTTTTATTTAAAAGCTGAACAAGAACGACAACGTAATTATCTTAAAAATGGTCCATATATAACAACTAAAGAAGCTGTTGCTATATATACAACAGTTGTACATTGGCTTGAATCTCGACGTTTTTCATCAATATCATTTCCATCGTTAGCATATAAACACAAGTAACGCTCATCTAACGATTCGCTGACCCTTTTCTGAAAAAAAAGATTTACGGGTATTCAAGATTACTATATCATAACAACATCCACCTCAGATTCGGATTTCCCGTCCTCAATTGCCCTTCGGTCAAACTTTTTCTGGAAACTATTGTTGAGATTTTATTAGTTTAGAGCATACTGAATTCTTATTGGCTTGGACAGACAGACAAACTGTAAGGATTCTTAGCCCTGATATTTAACCGTTGTATAACCCTTTCTTTCAGAAAAGGGAATAAAAAAAGGTATTTCGTATCTCCCAAACTCTAATCATTGACCTGATAATACTGACAATTTCATGGAAGCAGTAATCTGAACTGAAAGTCTTCGGAAATATTTGTTACTCGTTGAAATAAAATCTTTAATATGATAAAAAAATTTAGACACACCTACATATTTGATAACTTCACAAAATTCAATCTATTTATTTGCAACTAAATAAGAACACAAGGAGAAAATTCAGCGAAGAGTAAATTCACACAACGTGATCATAACAATATGAATGAATACTGAGAGAACATAACACGAAAGAAAAAGATTATACCTACCAGAGATGAAATCCATATAGATTTTAGACTAACCAGTCTATCTAGTAAAGTCTGATCTACTAAGACTGGCATTGGTAGTAGTTGAAATTATCCAAACGTACGTTTAGTGAGAACTTTTCGGATGCTTTATGCAGTAATCATCAGGTTTCTTATGAATTATACAAAATCTGTTATTCTATTCTAGGTCTTCTACATCGATTATTTTCTCATCTTGATGATTCAGATATAGATGATATATTAATTAGTCTAGCAACAACAATAGAAGAACATCATCGTTCTAAACTTCTTGTTGTCTCAGCATTATTTGAATTAGCTGGTGATTATTCTTCATGTATACGTATTGCTTGTGACTATATAACACAAACAATTCTTGATCGTTTATTAATATTATCATCAACATCATCACCATCTCCATTTATTTATAGCTCAACGTCTTCAAATTTTATCAAAAACAAGACATAATAAAAATCAAGAAAATTATTTTCTTTTATTAGATATTTATTCATTTGTTGATTATTACCTTCGAATTGATCAACATGAACGAGCATTTATTATTTTAAATCAATTAAAATTATTTCCACATCTTTGTTTAATAGTTCTTCGTATTCATTTATTAGTTATTCAACAAGAAACAAGTTCATCTTTAAATGAAGAAGAAAAATATTTACACGAACTCAATTACATTCTATTGATCGAATTTATGAACAAGAAAATCAACATTATGATCAAGATATGTCATTTCATTAATTGTTAAATATTTTTTTGTTCGGTGATTATCTTCATTGTTTAATAAAAATTGTCTTTAGAACATGCTAACTTTTCTTTGCTGAATGCTTTTTTTTCAAAAAGACAAGAAAAATAAACTGAACAGACTGAAACATGCAACTATTCACAATTTGATAAAGTTTGTGCTTTGTTTAGCACGTGGTTAGAGGATTAGATTGATCTTTCTGCTTACTGAGGTTGGCGAACTATGTGGTTATCTCCTCCAGCCGTAACTTATGTAAAATAGCAGGAGGATAATGGCACAGTTTTTTATTCATTCTGTTTTTGTATACTTGACTTTGTCTTAAGTTAATAGCGATATTCATTTTGAATTACGCACAAAAGAATACATCAAGGTCGACAAGTATAGAAAGAATAAAAGAAAACATTGATGGATACACTCATTGTACTTTTATTACCGTCGAACATAAAAAAAATTGTTTGTTTTATTGTTGTGTATTAGAGTATTATGTAATTCATTGTATCGATAGAAGATATGAAAATAAATCAGACGATTTATCTCTTACTTTATGATTGTGTGCATAACAACAAATGAACATTTCATACATTTATTTGACTAAGTGATCTCTTTCAATCATTGGCTCAAGCATGTTGAAATGGATAATAATACAAATTCAACAGATACTACTAATGCTTCTACTCCAACACCTCCTACTTATAAAGTAGTTCTTGGTTGTTTGACATTTTTTCTGATTTTACCATTTGTTTTAATTCCTTTTAATCGTTTTCCATTGGGTAGTACCGGAGCTACTGTTATTAGTCAGACAGAGGTATATATTGTCATTGGTGATGAAAATAATTTAAAAACAATATTTCTTCTTTGGGGTATGATGGTTATATCATCATATTTCGAACGTGAACGTTTAGTTGATCAATTATTAAATAAACTCTTTCCAAATGGACTTACATTTCATTGGTGGCTCATACGTTTAAGTATTATTGATTCGATTTTAGCCGGTCTTTTTACCAATGATGTTTCTTGTGTAATATTAACACCATTAATACTTAATAAATGGATCGATCAAAAACGAGAAAAAAAGAGAATTGAATACATTATACTCTTAGCTTTAGCTACCCAAGCAAATATTGGTAAGTTAAATAGGATTGATTATTATGATGTTATTTTGTACATTTAAGAAATACATTGACAATTTTTGGTAATCCTCAAATGGCTTTGATAGCATCGAAATCAAATGCTTTTGTTCATCAAAATAGTCGATTTCAATTGAAAACATGTGTTAAATATTTATGGTTGCCAGTTTTTATCATTTGGCTGCTCAACTTAACTTTTCTTTTAATACTTCATCGACTAAATAAATGTAAATTGAATCGAACATCGTCGGAGCAAGTTCCAAGTGAAGTATCTAATGTTGAACAATCACACGACCAAGAACAACCATCAGTCTCTGTTACCACAAACTCAATGAAATTACCTCGATTTACTGAACGTTTTCGCCTTAGACGATTAATGGATATTGGTGAACGAACGACGGTTATATCGTTAAGAACATTACCATTAATGATCGATCGAAGCGTTTAGGTTGCATCATTTCCTAGTTTAAATGAACAAATCAATGAAGATAAAGATTCTTTGCAGGCATCTGAATCTCGAGTTTTCAAAATTGTTCTTTTCACATTACTCATAAGCGTAATTGCATTATTATTTGCTTCAAGTAATAAAACTAATTTTGATATTGTATGTAAATGCTGACAAAAAAAGACTTAATTTCAATCAGAGCAAATAAAATTAAATCAATTTAGGTTTGGTTCCGGTGGGTGCAGCGATCATCTTATTAATTGCTGATACTCTCATTAATCATCGACCTCCAATACTTATACTAACTCGAATTGATTGAAATGTTCTTCTTCTTTTTTTCGGCCATTTTGTTTGGCTTTATGGACTTAATTCGACTGGCATTCCTAATCGTATTTGGTACGTTTTTTATTCAAAAACTCACATTTTGATAAATTTTGTTTTGTATAGGGTAAGACTCAATCTCGAATCGGCGTCATTAACAAATATGAAATCCCTTTTAATCTTCTTTTTATTTACTCTCATTGGTAGTAATATTTTTTCTAATGTTCCATTGACTTTACTTGTTCTTGAACAAGTTCCACCGATAGGTAATCATCTTAATCTGGTTTTATATCTTGCTTTCATCACTACAGTTGCTGGTAATCTAACTCTTTTTGGTAGTGTGGCTAATTTAATTGTTGCTCAACAAGCTTTGTTAAGTTCGCTTAAACATCAATTCGGTTTTTGGACTTATTTCAAATATGGTTTTCCTACTACGATTTTATTTAGTCTTGTTGGAACATTTATCATTTATGGTCTACTTCAAGTTATTTAGAACGAGATATTTTGTATGATTTCTTATGAAAATAATTCGTATTGTATATTCTAAATAATAAAGATTGTAATAGTTGCTGGAAAATAATTTTATGACAAGTACTCTTATCAATGTATTAAATAAACGAAGATTTAAACTAATGTCATCTTGAATATACGAAATTCATTTAGTGGAAACTACGTTTTTCCTGTCATTTAACATAGAAAGCCTACTGCTATTATGAAATATAATATACAGACAAATGAAAATCTTTCTTTTTTTTCTCAATATTATTTGTATAAGAGAATCATGAAAAAATCGTCTTTTGTCTTCGATAAAGACTTTCTCATGGTGTTTGATTGATTCTATAGATTAAATATTAGAATCTTGATTTTACTAGCTGTCACAGAATTGTGAATGACATATGACGTTGATAATAAGGTATATAAGGAACTGATAATAGAAAGAGGGCGAGAACATTGCATGCGCGTCATATAAGTGCTAATAATATGTAAAAGTATTAATAATAGTACGAGAAGTTGTAAAAGACGTATTCATGTTTAGAATAATAAGATATTCACATTAAAGAGATGCATTTTTAGAGAAAATTGCACCATTGGACCTGAGAACATTCATAAGTAGGTGTTCACTAAGAAATGTTTCACTCTGATTAATGTTTTTATTTCAATCTTAAACGCATATGAGAAAGGTAAGATTTTTCTATTATTACTCAAAAAACAATCTCGTTTTTCGTGCTTTATTTTGTTCAAGTTTATGACGTTATTAATAAGAAATAGAACTTGAACAAAAATAAATTCAGAATTTTGTAAATATTACAGTTAGTAAAAAAACTCATAATTCTCCACTGTCTAATTTAAATTGGATAACAAGCTGTCGTATTTTAACAAATTAATCAGTTATCATGTGAACTCCAAAGAACTCATCAATGAATTCTTCAACAAAGCTTTTGTAATACGTACATAATATCAAAGTTTAAAAGGATATATTGTTTATAGCGAGTTCTGAACGACAAACATTATAACGGCTAGATAATGTATATGAACCATCATAATGAAATGAGTTTAATTATAATTTTTTTCAGCATTGATTATGCAGAATCAAGTCAGTAAGAAAATGTTTTGGTACTGATAAGGAAATAACCCAGCCAGGACTTGCAACGAAAAAATGGTATTAAAATGGCATAAAATTTTAATAAAAATAATGATGTAAAACTGTCACAAAAAATGTCAAAAAATTCTTTCTGTATTTGCATTAAAATGTATAGTTTGAACTAAATGAAAATGATTTAATAGGTGACATTATAATGCCCCAAAAAATTCCATTTTTTGGCATTTTTTGTGACAGTTTTACATCATTATTTCTATTAAGATTTTATGCCATTATAATACATTTTTTCCATGGCAACTCCTGCCTAGGCTACACTGAATATCCAAACGCTATGGCCACTTAAGAAAGTTGGTGCCTCCGTCTCGTTAGAGTCTGTAAAGCTCATTCTGTTCATTATGATAGAGAGATATTTGGAGTTTTTATAGTTATGATTAAAGTTGACAAATAATATTTAAAGATA